TTAACCTCCTTGTGAGAAATTTACCCCAAATTCTTTAGTATTCACAAGTGAATTCCTGACAGGCTACCTTTTGATTTTCAAAGGAATTTATTATTGCAGAGATCGGATGTGGCTTGTAATGTTCTATGATAGAAATACAGATGTAAGCACAATTGAAATGAGCTGCTTAAGGCACTGGGCTGCCACTTTCCACGGGAAGGTGAGAATGATACAGCCATGTCACCACTCTCACCCTCAAGAAACCATTTCTTTCTTGGCAAACATTTTTCTATTTTTGGTTAGCAACTGTACTTCTTAGAAAATATACATTGAGTTGTCACAGAACTACAATAAAGATGTTTTATTGGTTTATATATATGTCATCAGAGGCCAATATAATAAAATCACATTCAATGTGAAACTGAATATTGAATGAACACTTGCCATGCCACAATCTGTTCTCTTCATCCTCACAGTTGAAAACACTTACACTGGTTGTCATATTTTTCCCAAGGAGTAATTTGGATAATCCAGTTATGATTTAGTAGTAGAAAGCAATCATTTATAAAGCATACTCCTGAGACTTTAAAGAGTTCATAAAGTTTGCAAAACCTTCCTGTGTACCTCCCAAGAGAAGACAGCATACCAGGTGATTCTGTCTATGTAAAAATATTGAAACTTCAGGCACTTGCTATGCCGACATATTTCTTATTATAATGTGAAGTGATTCAATGTCACTTAGGCAAGTGTGTCCATTCTTGAAAAATTCATTAAGAAGCAGCTGAGTTCTCTTGAAAATGCACCTTGCAAAGTGGCGTATTTAGACTCTATTCTACATTGAAAATATTAACTGTGAAATTCCATGTGTAAGCAGTAAATTATCAGAACTACACAGTGGACCAATTTTAGAAATAGCTAATCAAAGCCAATATATTTCCCATTTGGATGTGAGTATGTGATGGTAGATTCTATTAAGAGCTGTTCGTGGACACTCACTGGCCCAATTTCTTGCTTCATCAGAGCGTGTAACTGAAGTAAAGACTGACATCTTCGTCACCAGTTTTGGACCAGTTTCGGACCATGATATGGTAAGTGACAGTGTATATTTGATTTGGGATGGTATTTTTTAAATTTATGTTTTGAAATAAATATGTAGGCTAAGTACCCGAAGAAAAACTTGAAAAGGCATGGTTGTTTATAATTTTCTGTCTACATGTGTATGATAATTGATATATGTATAATATGTATAATACACACACACACACATACACACACACGCGCGCGCACACCCAAACACACTCGAGTTTCTGTGACTGTTAGTCAACCACTGCAGTCTCTCTTTTTATCCCTGAAATGGTTGCTTTGCTCGGTTTTGATTTGCAGAGCCCATTTTTCCAGGCACCTTTCAGTTGAATCATGAGGCCATGTTGATTGAGGGATGCCAGGTTTTCAAAGCTCTACTGTCACAGAGAAGCCAGTTATGCTGTAATTTCTGGCTACAAGCAGGAAATGAATACCAAAGTTGAGTGAATATTTAATCATACTAGGAAAGAAAGACTTAAAGGTAAACACCCAAGTGAGAACTTTGTTTCTTTGTAGTAAAATATTCATCGAAGGTGGAACTATGCATACCTGACCTTTTTTTTAACCCAACATAAATAAATTAACATGAATTTCTGTATTTTATGACAGAAGTTGGTAAATCAGTAGAGCTTTGCAGATATTATATAACATTTCTGAAATTGTAACAGTCAGCTGCTATATAATCAAACTATTGTAAAAAGGCCAAGGAAACGCCACTATGAATACTTCAAAGATGTGTTGTTATTTTAATGCCTTTTTTTCGTTAGTACTTAGTATAAATGTTTTTTGTTTTTAATTTCAAGTAGCCCTGAGTGATTCAGAATAAAATTTGCAGATTCATTCAAGTTCAAAACGAAACTCAAACTCTTCTACCTGTGTTCCATAGCATGAATAATCTTGGACAACCCTACCTGTTCACAGCATTGAGTAAATGTTTGTAGATACTGTGTAAGTCCTGCTTTTGGTGAGGCGGTACAGCCCCTGAGTTACTAGGACTGGCTCTAGGAGTAAGGCTGGTTGAGTTTAAAAGACTCACCACTATGTGTCACAAAACACTCTGATCAATACCAACTTGGCACAGAATGGATTTATTTGTCTTACATCTCCCAGGTCATAGTTCATCACTGAAGGAACCCAAGGTAGGAACTCAGGATAGGAACCTGGAGAGAGGAACTGAAGCACAAGGCATGGAGGAACACTGCTTAATGGCTTGCTCCCCTTTGCCTGTGCTCAACCTGCTTTCTTATACAATACAGGACCACCTGCCCAGGGGTGGCACCACCCACAGCGGACTAGGCTTCCCACATCACTCACCAATCAAAAATATGCCCCACACACATGGCCACAAGCTAGTCTGATGGAAACAATTCCCCAAAGGAGGCTCTCTTTACCCAAGTGTGTCAAATTGACAGCTAAAGCTATCCAGCACTATATTATATAATCTACCAATAGTACACCCAAAACAATAGCCATTATTACTTGACGTAAAGTGCAACTTAGATTTTGGCTACGTATATAGTACAGCTTAATGAACGAATTATTTTCTTTTTATAAATAAATGTTTTATTTATAATTCTTAAAATGATGCCAAATTTTGAAATACAGGTTTATCTCAGGGACCTCACAGCATGACCACCTTGCTGGTTTGAGTGAGTAATGAATTCTTGGTTCCTGATGATAGGATTAGCAGCCTGAATTATCATTAAAAAAATGAATTCATGTGGGGCCACAATAATCTAAATAAATTAAACCCTTCTCTCTGAGTTCTGAATTTTTTGAGAAGACAATAGACTAAAGGCTATGAAACAAAAAAAGAATTTTACTATTATTATTTGCTAATAATCCTTCTCTGTCTCTTGAACATGACAAAGTGCCTCACTATAGACAGTATTCAAAGAGGTGTTAAGGGACAGCGCCCAAAGGAAGTCAAATTTAAGAAAAGGAAATTCTCTTAAAAATATTAAGCAGACATTTATTATTAATTTTTATTTATATTTAAAATACATTTTTATGTGTTCTTTGAAAATTTCATACATATATACAATGTGTTATGATCAAAGCCACCCATCCTCGTTCCTTCCCTCCAACAACCACCAGAACCACGGAACCAATATCCCTCCCAACTTCGTGCACTCTTTTCTTTGAACCTACTGAGTTCAATTTGTGCTGCCAGGATGTGCGTGGGTGTGGGCCATCCACTGGAGCACCAGCAACCTAATAGGGGAAACATCCCAGAGGAAAACGAACTCCCCCTCCTTAGCAGCCATACTTGCTAACACTTCCCAGCTAGGGATGGGGCTTTGGGTCCCCTACGGCACCCATGTTGGATGTTTGACTACTTTGATCTTGCTTTTGAGTTATTGGTTCAGTTTAGTAAGTGTTGAAGTGTTCAGTAAGGTTTTGCTTTTGTCTTAGAATAAAAGCCCATAATAGGATTTTTGACTTGCATTAATCCTGTATTGCTCAAAATTTCATTTTATGTCTAAACTTTGGGTCAAAAGTCAGAGAGGAAAAACTGGGAGTATGTAAGCCAGTGATCATCCCCCATAACCAGTTCACTAAAAACTATGAAACAGTGTCTACTGGTTCTGTAAAATGATCAAATTAGGCACTGTTTTGTAACTAATTTGCAATGTGTGTACTGGAAATTGTACCTGATTGCCTTGCTATAGAATATTAATTATTTAAATCATATTGAGAAATTATGTATAAAAAGTAGCAGATTTATTTAAAGGCAAGCAAAATTAGAAGGACGAATGCTAAAGCGAGTTTCTGACATTTTGGTGGTTAGCCTTAACATTTAACGTCTGCATCATCTCTCCAGATATTTAAAAAAAATTTCAAAACAGAAAAATATTTGTTTGCTTTTTAAAGTGAGAACTAATAAAAATAAAAAACTTAATAATAACCATAACAGCATTTTCCATTACTGAGAGTTTACAATGTCCTAAAGTTTTATAAAGCTTGTTTCATCTGATCCTCATTTCAAGCCTTTTAGCTCTGTAATATTTGTATCTGCATACTTTCTGAGAAGGAAAGTGACCCGATAGATAGCTAACTGTAGCAACTGGAACCCAGGCAGGCCATCCCTACAGACTTCCCAGCTCCCCAGGCATCTGACTTTATCTGGAATAGAAAACAAAAATTAGGACAACTCCTTAAGCTTATTTTAAAAACCATTAATTGGCCATCAAGCAGCCCATTCCCAAGGCACTAGGTTCTGACAGAAATATACAGGCTGCACAATCACACAGCCTTGCTTCCCATAGTGTTTAAAATGTATTAAGTGAAGGCACAAAGAGATGGGAATAAATGGTACAGGTAAGAACACCTCAATACAATATTTATTTAGGAACAAAGGGGATGTTTTGTCCTAGATCTTCAGAATAAGGCGCACAGCCTCCAGGGAGCTATTCAATTAAGGAGAGTCATTCTGGGAGATTTTTCTGTGTTGGGAGCTGGAACCCTGAAACTTGAACAAATTCTTCAGCACAACTTTACATATATTCAGTCTCCCCTGCAGAGCTCCTCCTTCTGTATTTAGTTTTTATTTGGTTTGATCATGAAAACTCTCTTACTTTCTTCAGCTTTCCTGCTCTGTGACTTTTCCAAAAAGTATTTTTTTTTTTCATTAGCAGCTGTAAGGAATTCTAGTAAAATTGTTGTTGATGTAAGACAAGTAAAAGATCTTAAACATACATCCATAGTCACTAATACTGTGACTTCCTGAAGATGCGGTATGGCTCATCTTAGTCCACATGCCCATTCTTGGTCTAAGAAATTGTGGCCATGGATGTAAGGTCATATTTTACAAGCAGTCCCTAAAAGCCACCTAGGTACTGAGCTGAATGTTTACACTTGTGATTATGAAGAAAGTGGGCCCAGGCAGCTGCTGTAATTTCAGTTTTGTTTCTGCTCTGAGAGAAAAAGAGAAATCAAGGTTACCCACTTAACTCTTGCTCTCTCTCTCTCCCTCTCTCTCTCTCTCTCTCTCTCTCTCTCTCACACACACACACACACATACATACACCTAACTTTTTTCCTATGGGTGTGTGTCTTGTACTGTATTTAAAGGAGAAATGTCTCAGATAATTTGGAAATTTCAATTTCAGTCTAATGTAAGCAGAGCTAAATGCAACACGAAATCTATATTGTTTAATTTACATTTGATATTTAGTTTTCAAAAAGAAAACAATGAAACCTTCTTGGAGCTAGCAAATAGTCCAACAAATGTCCTTTATTAAGGGAAAGTGGTCATCTTAAGCACATGTGGAACCTTGATTCACCAGTAGCTTTTCTCCAGAGTATTAGCCAGTATAGTGTCATTCAAATAGGTAGGGATTGTTGTCTATGTCTAGGTTATGAATAATCAAACTATCATCAGGCTGTCTGTTGTCCAGAAGGAGAAAAATATACCTAGCCAAGACTAGATACAGTCCCAGTGATAAGCACTGTCACACCATATCACTTCCTGATATAATCCACAGTCTCCTTTTCCAGAAGATTTCCTGATAACACTCTGGGCTAAATAATTTCTCCCTCTGCTGAATTGAATAAATGCTTAACAAATGTTTGCTGTGAGTAAATTCCTATTTAAATAAATAAAAGTAAATTCCACAGTGACTTTCATCTGACACTTCCAGACATTGAAAAACCTAACCAACAAACAAGGTAACTTGTCTGGCTTGCATCAACAGAATAGTGTCATTTTGCTTACTTCTGTGTTTGTATTTCAGTCACCAATTAGCACTATGTGTGATGCTTTATAAACCATTCACTAATGACTGCAAATTCCTTGATCAGTAATGGATCAGCAATATTAAACCTGTGCCAGAAGGGAGATCATACATTCGGTCTTTACCCAGACTTGTTTAATTCTTGGGAAAGAAACAGGTAGTTAAATCCATGCACAAAATGCCTGAAGACAAACACTGTTTATTTTGTATGTCCTAAGGAAGATATGTGTACGATTTAAAAACAGATGCTTTTAGAGGCATCAGGATTGCATGGATTAGAATAATGCAACATAATGTTTTCCAGTTAGCTCTCCTTCTGGTTTTGAGTATGCTAAGATTAATGGAGAATGTGGTAATCTTTATTTCAAACCACTGAGTTCCAAATTTAGTGCCAATGTACCAGGCACAGCAAGGAAGATGAATAGAAGACTTTTCAATTTCAGGAGCTGGTAAGTCACATTGCTTGTTTTAAGATTAGCAGATGTTTGTCTCTTGTTAATGCCATACGGAAAGCTCTGTTTATTCAAATAAATAGATTTCCTGGCTGAGAATGATGATGAGATTCACACATTTCTCATGTGACATGCAGTCATGTGCAATCACAAATATATACTCATACACCACTCCACATTCTATATTCCAGGTTCGGTTTCTCTCTTTTTGCCACCCCCCTTTTTGGAAAAGTTCTAAATTACCAGTGGAAACTGATTGCATATTTTCATAATCTTGATCACTGTGTAGAAGAATCTGAGGTTGATGGATATTATCTGCAAAGAAAAACAATGTTTCCTTAACCAAGGGAGTTTCACACCTGCATTAAAACCATGAATTTGTTCAGTCTAATTATGATGTTTGCAAAGAATTAGGAGGTCACACCTAGCTATGTGATGTATCATGTGGCTGAAATTACCTAATTTAAATATTCTTTTTAAACATGCAGTCTTAAAAATATAAATTTTATTTTTAAGTTGTAGGATATTTGTAGGATATTGCTTTTTCTTCGAGTTTAGGAGTTATTGGGGGTATTACTTTACTTTTATTTATCTAAACAGATAACTGGGGACAATTTTTTATCCAGGATGTGCCAAATAATATGTATATGTATATATACATATATATAATTGAATTTCTGTGATTTTCATGCAGTGTAATTTGATGGTATTTAAATTCCCTCCCTATCTGCATCTCCCCTTATTGTCCGCCCATGACCAATTTAATGTACACACACACACACACACACACACACACACACACACACAAAGGACTACAGATTCCCCAAATGCTCTTCCCCAAGTGTGGGTCTATCAACTGGAGCCTGATTAAACTGAAGGAGTCCCATGCTTGAAAGAAACTGCCTCTACATTTTAAAAATATTGTTATAGCAGCCACAATTCTTCTAACACTAATATAAAAGTATCACCACAAATTTACCTCTGAAAATGTACCTAAGTCACATTTGGCTTCCAAAGGTACAAAACTTATGCCTTATCTATAAGATAAGATATTTGTTTTGCAAAATATATGACTGTGGGGAAGGAGTATAAAGATGATTAAGATGTCTAAAAGATACACAAAAATTCAATGAAAGAATAATATAGTAAATAATGACATAAAATATGATCTATAAGAATATAATGTATAGCACTAAATTAATTGTTATATGAAAAAATAACACTGAGAATGCTTTATATTTTTCAAAATTACCTAGGAATATACAATAGATGTGTTTTTCCGTCAAAGCTGGAAGGATGAAAGGTTAAAATTTAAAGGGCCCATGACAGTTCTCCGGTTAAACAACCTCATGGCCAGTAAAATATGGACTCCAGATACATTTTTCCACAATGGAAAGAAGTCTGTGGCCCACAACATGACCATGCCTAACAAGCTCCTGCGGATCACAGAAGATGGCACCCTGCTGTACACCATGAGGTAAGTAAGGGCAGCCCTACTTCCCCACAGAACGATCTGAGCTTCTTGCTGTCACAAGAAGGAAGCTATCAAGTCACTGAGCCATTATGACTCTCTGGCTTTTTGATGTTTAAGTATAAAAATAACCCTTCTATACAATCATAACTCTTTGAAATATCACGTGTGCATGATATTGTTAAGTAACTGATAAATACAGTGTAGATTAAGTAATACAAAACGAGACTGTCTCTCTAATTTGTTATAATTCAGCATGAGGATTTTCTGCCTGTTAGAAACTTCGTATCTCCTGCATTCCAGTAAGGTTAAGGTTAAAATTTAGAAGCTTCATAATGGAATCTATTCAAAAATATGTCTGATAAAAATAAAGGAAAATGGAAAATGAGCATACAAAGTTCTTAAAACAAATTCATGTGAAAATATATAAATAAAGAAGTATGCATTCACAAACAGTATTGTTAGCTAGAAATTATTAACTTGTCTTTACCTGAAGACTCTGTGTGTGTGTGTGTGTATGTGTTTGTGAGTGTCATATAAGTACATGGTGTTTCAGCGGAATGAAGGACGCATGAATATAAAAAGATATTTTAAAAGAAAGGCATATCTTTCAAAATATTCCCAATTTGTGGAAGAATTTGAATGATCTAGAGTTTATTGTTTTATTTATGAAGAAAGATTTTTTTATTTAAATTAAAGTTGGCTGCCCAATATGAGTAATTATTAGACTGCTCACATTTCACACTTTTCATCTTTTTATCACTCAAATATGGTAAATCTGCCCTTTGTCCCCAGCATCACACCCTATGGCACTGGGTGACCACTCCAGAAAACAGAGATGTACAATATTACCTGTCCTTAAATTCATCTAGCAAGTTAAACTCTTTCTGTATTCACAAACAATTATAAACAAAGGTCTCCCTCTTATATAGACCTGACATTTAATTTAAGAGGCCTGTGTGCTTTGGAAGCAAGGACAGGATTCTACTACAGTGTGTTCATCATAAAGTATAATTGTCAATGGGAAAACAAAATAAAACAAAAACACATGAAGATCTGCTATTTCTTACAGGAACTAGTTTTCCTAGGTATTTTTGTTTTTCTGAATCTGGATTTCTTTTAAATTTGTAGTGGCCCAGTGGAAGATCCCCACTTACTGGATGATTTTTCTTAGTTTTTTTTCAGATTCTGAATATGTTCTAGCTACTTAGTGACCCAACAACAGGATTGGGAAGATTGCCTCTGAGGCCTGTTCATTTCCAAGTGAGGAGATGACCTGAGCCCCAGAATTTCAGCCTAACAGTACACCTGTCACCTAGAAAAGTGAGCACATCAGCACCCATATGGGTTGAAGGAAAAACTATTTATACTTTTATGCAATTGCAACTATGTAACACAAAAATACTAGAAATTCAGACAATGCTACATAAGACTTTTTTGCTTCTTTAAGAGAAAAGATTTATATGGAGAGTGCTATTTATGTTATGTGTATGAGTGTTTTGAGAGCATGCATGTAAGTGTACCAGTGTCATACAGAGACCACAGATGGCAAATGAGGGTATCAGATCCCCTGGAACTGGAGTTACAGATGGCTGGTAACTGCCATATGGGTGCTGGGAACTGAACCCTGGTCCATTGCAAGCGCAGCAGTCTTAGTCTCTGAGTTCTCTCTCCACTCCCACAATGTGTTCTTTTTAACTCCATTCCTCTATCTCCAAAGTTGAAAGGAGGTTATATAACAGAATCCTTCAGATTTTAACTGGAAAACCACATGGGCTACTTTTTTCCCATCCTATTCCTTATGAAACGCCAAAGTCCCATGTGGTGCAACAATTTCTTAAGAAGTGATGTAATGAGTTACAAAACAGCAGCTTCCTGTATTAGAGAGATGAACAGAGTTGTGTCACTGGACCCACAACTGTGTTTCTTTTCTTCATTTACTTACCTTTTAAAACATATTTTTCATGCTTTGATTTTGTGCGTGTGTTAAGAGTCTTACTATGTGACCCTGGGCTGGCCTCCAAGTCACTGTGTAGCCCAGGCTGGCTTAGAATTTCTGATCCTCCTACCTTAGCAGCCCAAGTGCTTGGAAAACATGGGAATTGCAAACACATCCAGCCTGTGTTTTCTTTTACTGCTTTTTCACCTAAACACAGACATGCAATCACAGAGCTAACTGGCCCATGTGTAGAAGAACGAAAAACTATTTAAAAGCACAAAGTGTCTAAATCTTTCTGAAAAAATCAACAGCAGCTTTCTTCCTCTGGGGAAAAAGTCTCTCCTTTCACTAAAATAAGTGAATTTACCCTTCTAAGAATGTGCAATTGTCACAAACTGGGAAGGTTTCCTTCACATACAAATTCACTCCTGCCCTATATTCACATTAAAAACTCTGCTTTGGTCCAGTGTGTCTATGTCCCAAGATAAGCCAGGGTTTAGATATGAATAACTGCTTCCCATCTCTCTCAATTTACATGACACTGGACATTTGGAATTTACTGCTACAGTATCAATTATGCCTGTCACATTTGTGTGGAGACTGGAAGTATCTCCTTGTTTGGAGCAAAAAGCAAAGAATTCACAGCTACCACAATTCAAGCACCTGTTTGTACATAAAACCCTGCTTCCACTTGCAAAATGAGTCTTTCTAACAAAGCAAACAGCAGAAGACCTATGTCTGGTTGCATTTTTTTTTTTCTTTGCCTTTTCTTCCTGGAGAAATCAGCAAATCAGCAGGACAACTGCATTCTAAGGGTTTCTCTACTTTAAACTGGAGAGTGAAACCAAGAAAAGCAGTCTTTTCACTCCAGACCTTGGAGGTAATATGTAGAGAGACATTCCCATTTCACTAGGGAATCTGGCTGAATAAAAGAATCAGGTCTCCCCGCTGAGAGGACAGCATAGACATTCTTGCCAAGTTCTGAGTTCAGAATTTTGCTCTGAGGTGAATATAAAGATACCTAAGGTCAGGAAAATGTTGTGTATTATAAAGTTCTTCACATGGTTCAACAGAGGCGTTCAACCTCCTTCCAACTGTCCATGCAGAGCCAGTTGCCTGGGCCTGTTGCTATTTCCCTAGGGTTTATTTCTTCAATATAAAAAAAATGAAGGAAATATTCAGAATTTCATCTATGTTTAGCATGGATCTAGAGTGACAGTTTGCCTTTGATGGAAGCTGCCAGAACACCTCGGTTTTTAAACACAGACATTCAAATGCAAAAGATAGAATAAAGTTCAATAACTACTTTATACATTGAACCCATCTAGTCAAAGTATAACAGGACTTAAAGAATAGGTGGAAATAGCAAGGAAAAATAAATCAGAGGACCAGTAGACACACATAGCAAGACCACAGACCATCCAAGCAGGACCTAAGTATGTTGGAAATGTGAAACATTCTTCCTTGCCTAAAAACAAATGAGCAACTCTCTTCCTCCCCAAAATTACACTTGTACTCGAATCTAAACCCAGTGACCATTTTACTGATATGGGAATTTTCTAAGCTCTAATTTCCAGGTTCTAAATGGCCTAAGATTAATGTTTTTTGATGGATGTAAAGTTCTTATTGGATAAGTAGGTGATGCATTCCATTTATTAAATTTCTCTTCAACTTTGCTAATGTACTATCACCTTTAATAATTTTAGATTGTGATTTCAATAGTAGCATACATTGTAAAATGCTTTAATCAGTATTATAACCCCATAATTATTTTACTGACTACAATGACATGTGGTAATATTTTTGAGCTAGTTAGTAGGGAGGGGTAATTTAAAAAAAAAAAAAACTGGCTAAAAATTCTACAAAGCTTCAGGTGAGATAGCTCAATGTGTAAGGGCACTTGCCACGGAGTCTGATTACCTCAGTTCAGTCTCCAGGACCCACATGGTGGAAAGAGAGAACTGATAGCTTCGAGTTTTCTTCTGACTCTATATACATGTGTGTGCACACACACACACACACACACACATTCATGCACACATTCAAAACTAATAATAAAATAGGTGTAATACTTTAACATCCTACGAAAGAAATAAAAGTAAATTCTGCGATAGTTCTATAAACTGAAAAGAAATATGTTTCAATTAATTCATTGTTAGAAATATTTTAAAAACATGAATGGGGTTCACATTCCCAGAACATACCAGAGACTTAAGGGAAATACAACTAAACAGTGAATTTGTAAATAAAGCTAACAGATGGAACTACATGAGAATCATCAAGGGGGCTTATGCTGTATATTAACCTCAGTCTCACAAGGCCCAGGGACACCTGCTTCTCCAGTTCCTTCTCTGTCTTCTGTACTTAATGCTTTGTGTGGAGGGAGACAGAGAACATTGCTTAGGATTGGAAGGCTATTCTTGATCTTGCTATCGGTGTCCTCAATCAATAATGAATTGGCGTTTATGCATCTGCTTTTACAAATTCTGTTTTATCTTTAATTGACACACAGTGAATTGTGCTTAGGATATTCAATGTGGTATTTCAATGCATGTATACATTATGTAATGATCAAATCAAGGTAATTACCATTTATGTCACTTGGTTGTATAATTTTATTTGACTATATCTAGTTTAGCTCTCAAAGTAAGTGCAATAGGCAGATGGATTAGTGGATGCTGTTTGTTGTAGGAAACACAAGTAGTGATTGCCTCATCTTCAAAACTGAATCTTGTCTATTTTCATAAAGCAAACAAAAATTAGAAAAAAGTCATTATTATTAATAATTATTTTTAGATCATTTTATTGCTTAGAACACAGCATAGCTATGCATTTTACACATATTCTGCTTTGTCAATATGTTTGTTACATTGATGACATTTTTTTCTAATCAGCAAGTGTCTAATGTACAGAGCTTCTGTTTGTATTCCATATTCCCTTCAATTAATAAGGCTGACAGTCAGAGCTGAATGTCCGATGCACTTGGAGGACTTCCCTATGGATGCCCATGCCTGCCCACTAAAGTTTGGAAGCTGTAAGCTAACTTATTCAAATTACTATTATTCTTTAATTTTTTATTTTATTGTTTTTATTTTATGTGTATGAGTATAATGTCTGCATATACTTGTGTGCACCCATGTTATGCAATGCCCACGGAGGTCAGAAGGGGGTGGTGGATTACTGGAATTGGAGTTACAAGTGGTTGTTAGCTGCCATGGGTGCTGGGAATTGAAACTGGGTCTTCTGCAAGAGCAATCAGCACTTTTAACTGCTGAGTCATATCTCCAGCCCTTCAAATTATCATTATTCTTATGAGAGCTCTAAGATTTTAAGCAGGAGACTTCAAATCACTTATGTCTGTTAGAGACTCACAAACACATCAAGAAAATTCAAATAGCAATACACCAGAAGAGTTGCCTAAAAATAATAATCCTTGACTTCACTGTTTAATTTCAGGAAAGTTTATTAATTTCTAGAACTGAAGGCACAGACCAAATGATTTATTGGAAAAATGCTATTAAATGGGATTCATGGAAAAGGGTGTGAATGCATCTACCTCATATATAGCACTTTCTTCCCAGTAAATGGGAATTATTGCATTTACTTTATATCATTACTGAGATAGTTGGAAGAAAATTCCAATTTGTTATCAGATGGAAATGTTAATAGTTCGCAAAGGAAAATATGTACGAGCTTTTGTTAGTGAAGGCTGCATATTAAGGGGGTGTCTAGAAAAGAATGCATCCCCTTGTCATCTTTAAATTCACTCAGACCAAGTAGGAACCTCCCATGGAATTCACAGATACATTTATGTCTGGGATTGAATTTGAAGGTATCCTAGATACACTTCCTTTAACTCTCTGGATTTCTACTATTTGTAAACAGTGAGGGGTATCTTTGAGGAACCCAGAGTGCATTGGCCTGGACATCTGGCTTCTCAGTCTTCTCTTCCTCCTTCTATGTCAAACTATCTTGCGTGGAGTAGAGGTAATATATTCATGGATCTCTGCAGTGGAGTTTCATACAAGGACTGAGTCAGCTTCTGGTTTACCTAACCAGCTTTCTGTTCTCAGTAGCAGGCAGACTGAGCAACTATTTTGGTGAAGATATGATTCATAGAAGAAAAATAGTGATAGTGTAGGAAGACAGCAAGCAAAGAGTATAGCAGAGAGCCTTTAGCAGCCCTAGTTTTGGAGAGACATTGTTTTCTATTTATAAATCCCATTCTATCCCAAAGACTCAAGGACACCTCTAAACCTGTCAGTTAAACAGGACTTTGGGGAGCATCCTTTAGTCATTTTAATATACACTTTACATTATGGAGTCTTCTGTTTTCTCCTGAAAACCAGTCCCATTTCTAACAGTGATAATGTTATATATTACTTGTGTGACATATAGTACATGATGCATATGAACATTTATAAGATCATCCAGTCCACAATGAAAACTTATAGGTAAGAAGATCACACATTGTATTTTTCCCACGGGAAAACTGATTTCTCATTATTATTTAATTACTAACAATATGCCTACATACAAGTATTTTCTACCCAACCTCATTTAACCTTCAAAATGTCCTGTTTTAGGTAATGAATTACCAACTTTATGTTAGATTTATTTCAGTCATCAGGATAGCTGAAGAAAAGGAGGACTTATATTTCCATATAGGCTGTATAAAGGTTGTTGGTTGAGTGCTAGTTCAAGGTCTAACAAAGTGATGTCCTTGACTGATCTTCTTCATCACAAGATGGCAGCTGAAACTCAAGCCAGTGCATCTGCTTTCAGGAAGAGGGGGCATAGTTGGTAAAAGGAAACTAATAACTGTTTCACCAGATCAAAGCTTTGCCTAAAACGACAGTAATGTTGTAGCTTCATCTCTTCATAATTAAATTCATGTAAGGTATTCTCAGAGGAAGATGGGATGAAAATATTTTTCTAGAGATGCATTTTCTTTTTCTCTTTTTATTTTTTTATTGTTTTGAGACAGGGTTTCCCTGTAGCCCCAGCTGGCCTGACACTCGCTATGTAGACCAGTCTGATCTTGAACTCACAGAGATCCACCTGGCTCTACCTCCTGAGTGCTGGGACTATGGGATTAAAGGTGTGGCCACAGTGCCTGGCTTTCATTTTCAACCTGAAGAATGTTGGAGGTATTTTAGGAAGAAGGAAATGGATTATGAGCAGCAAACAAATAGTGTGTTACACAGGAAAGAGTGGAATTAAAGATAAACATGGATGCCACTTTCCAACTCAGTGCCTTTGCATATTACCTTTTCTGACTACATTATCCCCCTAGTTAGTGTGGCTAGTTTTTCCACCTTTCACACCTCAGCATAGATACTGTCTCATAGGGTCTTTTCTGTTGACCCCATAGAAACTTGTACAAAGCTCCATCAATCTTCTTGAATCTATTGTCCACATATTTTTATACCATTTTATACTGCATTAATTATTAGTGCCGTTTATTCATAAATATTTTCCTGTTTGTGGACCACAATCACTAGAAAAACAGAATTTATTTTATTTAGTATTTCTTGGTACAGAGAGTATATATAATCAAAGAGAACATAACTTAATTAATATTCAATGAATGAGGAAAGGTTACACCTCTGAGACTTTATTTCTTCAAAGTTTAAACTTCTGAAGAACATGGAAGACCTGTGGGTAAATATACTGAAACAGGTGGTCAGGCTCACTGGGAGACAGCTCTCTGACAGGCCATTGTCCACTGTTGCCCTGAAAGGAAGGGGAGAAGGATCGGGTTTCCTCTGCTCCTTTCTCTGGCCTGGCTTAATTAGGAAAGGTGTAGGAACCAATGCAAAACAACCAACGCTTTGTTGATCTTATTTTTTCTTTTTTGAATAAACATGTTGCTAAAATAGTAACGGAGATTAGCAAAAGGGGTTTCTAAAACCACAAGTGGAGCATTCTACCACTGGGCCTTTGAAACCTTTCCAGTAACCCAAGCCTAGGTTGATATACAGGGAACACTGGAAAAGAGATTTTCTCCTTATCTCTCTCCTGTATGTTCCAGTCACTACCACTGAACTACCCTCTCTTCAGGTTAGGGATAGAGATACCTTAATAAGGCCAGTTAATTCCCACACTGTACCTGGGGTACAATTGTCTTTGAACACTTTTTGAGAAAAACATAAAATAAGTATTTGATCCTAGGAAATATCAGATCTAGTAACACCTTAATAAATGATTGTTTCCTAGCTGATCTAGAACAATGTCTTATAAACAAAGTTAGAGGCAAATGTAGAACCTAAGTGAACTGTAAGGAAGAAGAGCAAAGAAATATCATTAGAACTGATTTTATGTAGCTATAAGTTCATGCAGAAGGAAAAACAGAACCCCGTGAAAAGGAACAGAGACAGCAGCTGTCAGCGGCTCCACTGCAATAATCCAGGCTCCAGAGCAGTGCACAAAGGTCCTTCAGAGTCACAATCTATCCCTTTTACATTTTCTGGTTGAGCATTATGATTCCTTTGAAATCAAAAACTCTGAATAACTAGTTGAAGACATGTTTATGCTTAAGATTTATCAATTCAAGTAAGCCATCCTTGGGCCTCCCTTCTGTCTTCTCTAGCATAAGAACTCAGCTTGCATCATGGGTGTTCACTCTTCATTGAGGAAGATTTCCAGGAAGAACTATGAAGAGTGAGAGATGTGTGCCTCCTGCATGCTCTTCCAGAGGGCTTGTATATCTTCAATACATTAGTGTTTCTAAGAAATTACAAAATGAGTCATCAATAGTGACTTACTCTTTTTCCCTTTGCAACTGTATTAATATCCCAGTGAAAACTCATGGCAGCGTATAAAATGATAGGACCCAGTCACTGTTACCAATGACGACACATGACAAAGTATAAAATGATAAGATCCAGCCACTATTGCCAACAGCAATATGATGCAATAATAAGAGGTTTTGCTTGTTGCAAAAGCACATGAGCACTGGAATTCACTTGTTCCTGAGTTATAGAACTAGCAATCATCCTTCCTTGGTTAAGAGCATAGAACATATATTTATTTTCTAGAAAAATATTGAAAACAGGACTGGAGTAGAATACATAGCATTCCTAGTTGTTATCTGGGCATGCCATGAAACAAGTTATTTGGTGTTCAGGCCTCAGTTTACCAGCTATGAAATTCAATGGAAGCATGTGACCTTTGAGGACTTTCTACACTGAGCATGCAATAATTTTGTATTACTATAAATTCAGTGTGACTTCTTTGGTTAAAAACAAAACAAAACAAAACAAGAATTTATCATGACCAGGACAATAGTTTGCTTAATGTGCATATCTATAGACTGCAAGTAACACAGTCCTTCTCAAACTGTTCCCTTCCTGGTTTTAAGAAATTTTTTAAAAGAAAAATTTTATACCTTCATTACAGATGAAACTTACAACTCCAGAGGATACTTAAATGCTTTACTTTCTAGCCAATGAAGACAGTCATAGCAAGAGAAGAAAAGGTGGATAGATCAAGATTTCCCATTCACATTTTGTCTTAGGACTCATTAAATATCTTCTCTCAAACTGCCAGAAAAGTTTGTTCAAAGAGAGCTCTGAGTTAATTGACCTGTAAATGAAGATGGGCAGACAGGATGCCCACATAAGATGGGGGAACACTGATTACAGTGAATAGCTCAAGCTTTGTTTCAAATCAAAAGTTTTTGCAGGCAGCATCTTTTTCATGTAAGGACAACCTAATTTTAAATCTCATACTGTTTTATATTGGGCAGATACATATTTGTACACTGATCCCAACCTAGGTGTAAGGGTTGGGACAGATATCCTTTGTTATGACATCTATAAGCTCTAACTGCTTTTTACTTTGGAGGTCATTTCTCAAAAACATAGTTCAAATTCTAGTTTATGGTAATTGGTAACAAAATGAATATCATCTGAGTTAGGATATATTGATCTTAGGTTTTAAACAAATTAAAACATTTTCATAGCCTTCTAAAAATATTTTGGCCCCAGGGCACTGTACCCACTGTGACTAATGGAGAAGTTGGACATTGGCCAGTGAATCAAGATTGTATCATAAGGCTAACATTCCTGTCATGTTTTCTCATCAGATAACCTGGAACAGATTACTTTTTCTCATCTGATATTCATTAAAAATTTAAAATCACACGGCATCTGAGCAGAGCAGAGCAGTTGAACCTATGCAGAGTGGGTGTGCTGTGATTGGAAATCAGAAAAGATATGAAATCTTTCCCCCTCTCTTCTCTCTCCTTCCAGCTCTTTCTAGCCACTCTTCTCAAGCCTGAATGAATTTATGACCCAGCTACTCCTATATGAGATTACAGGCTAAAAGGGTCTCAACTAATGAAAGTGACTGTATTAGTTACTTTTCTGTTGCTGTGGTAGAAACACTGACCAAAACAACTTATAGAAGGAAGAGTTTATTTGAGCTTATGGTTCCAGGTGGAATTACAGTTCATTACGGTCCTTCCTGGTGGAGAGGCATGGTGGCTGGAGGAGGAGCAGAAGCTGAGCTCCCACATCTTCAAGAAGGCAAAGGAAACAGGAGAGCAATTTGAGATCCGAGATCCAGCAAGGCTAAAGAACTCTCTAAGCCCAGCCCCAGTGACATGCTTTCCCTAGATGGTCACACCTTCAAAACCTCCCAAAACAGTACAACCAACTGGGGACAAAATGTCCAAATTCTTGGAGCCTACAGGGGACATTCTTAGTCAAACCACCACAGTGACAGGGAAGAATGGCCCTATAGCATAAGTTGTCATCATCATTATCAGCAGCATCATGCCAATAAATACTTATAAAAAGCCTAAGCAATAAAAATGGAGTTGATTCCATTCTCTTTCTCAAGTAGATGTGCAGCAACATTTCTGGTGCCATATTTGTATTTATTGTGACCTTCCCATGGCTCAGCATTATATGGACAAAGGGTTGTTGAGTTTAATCTCACTTTATCTCCATGATTTCCATTGTGAATACTATGGTTTTCTTCAAACAAGTGAAGTTTTTGCCTGCAATTAAAAAAATATATATACTGTTTATTGAACAAACTCTTCTTCATGACACCTACTTGACTCATCTCCTCTTGGTTGTGTGTTTCTATAAATGCTTACTCTAAAATTCTCCCAAGTTCTTTTTACAAATCTAACTGTAGCACTTCATTTTATATCCCTTCACTCAGCTGTATATGGCTTTGTTGCATTTAGCACTACGTGGAATTATATCTTTATTTGCCTGTCCATCTTTATCTCTATCACCACAATGGACATCAATTAAAATAAGCAACTTTGTTTATGCCCACAGTGCTGTGTCCTCTGCATATGCTTAATGTGCTAGGCGTGAAAAAAAATGGCTGGAAAAAATCTCAGAATAAAAGTCATATATTTGGAATTACCAAATCCCCGAATATGGGCTTTCCTTTCCTAGCTTGGTATCTGCAGCAGTGAGCTAGGAAATATGAAGCTGATGTAACATACAAGCCCATTAGGAGAATTGAAGAGATAAGATGCATACATATGCTCCATGCTTTTTTTTCAGATGCTTATACAAGAGCAGAGGTTGTCTATGAGTGGACCAGAGAGCCAGCACGCTCAGTGGTTGTGGCAGAAGATGGGTCACGTTTAAACCAATATGATCTTCTTGGACAAACAGTTGACTCTGGAATTGTTCAGTCCAGTACAGGTAAGTTCCATCTGAAGATTCTGGATATGGAGAGTGGAGTGGTAAATAAAATGTGTGGTAAGAATGCAATAATGCCATGATTCCTTCAATAAGTAGGAAAAAGAACGAGAGAACAGCCTAAAATGGGATCAGTGAAACTGGAAAGAAACATGAACTCTAGGAATATAGTGCTGTACCTGTTAGTTAATGACTTGTGGCTTCTCTTTATTTGCAAAATAAGGAGCTTATTCTTTGTGATCAGGATAGCACAGCAAGTAGGATGTGAACTGCTAGGAGTAAGAATGTCTATATTAATTCCTTATGCCTTACCGTATCAGCAGATTTTGGTAACTAAGTAGAGTGATAAAAATAGTAAATCAAACTTATGCTACTTACCACAAGGCCTGGCACACAAAAACATTACACACAAACTATTAGTAGCCTTTTTGTCCCACTTATTGCCATGAATCAATGAATTTTGGGTAAATTTACAACAAACTAGACATCAAAAAGTCAATTTGTACCACAGCTAAAGCCAATGGAGATAAACACACACTACTGATTACTCTACTTCGGGAATTAAAAATAGGATCTTTTTGATATCTAGTGATATCCTCAAATTGCATTAGATGTTACTAATAAACTGGACACAAAGTTCTGAAGTTGCTTCAAAGAACAAAAGAGTGAAATTGTATATACTGTGTGCGGTGATACATGCCTTTAATCACAGCACTCAGGAGGCAGAGGTAGGTAGATTTCTGTGAGCTTGAGGCCAGCTGGAACTCTACAGCAAGTTCCAGACCAGCTGAAGCTATAGGGAGACCTGTCTCAAAAACAACAGCAATGGCAATAAATAACAATAACAAAAAGAACTAAGTTGCCTGGATGTGGTAGTGCACACCTTTTATCTCAGTTCTTGGAAGGCAAAGGCAGGCAGATCTCTGTGAAATCCAGGGCAGCTTGGCCTATATAGTGGGCTCCAGGGCAGGTGGTGCTACAGGGTAACCTTGTCTCAAAAAAAAAATCAGATAAAAAAAGATGACTTGGTAAAGCATAAGAAGAATAATGCTAATTTTCTCTGAAAAAATTTCTGTATTTATATTTCCTTGTGGGACCCTAAAACTTCTAGCATTTCAAGAAATAGGTCAATTTCTTCCTATGATTGTTGATGAAGTTTTACATAATATGCACCTTTTGCTTGTTCAAAAGCACTCACAGATACTTTTAATGCTTAAATATTTATGCTTCATGTTTTTTGATAGAGAAGATTGGTCCTCCGCTTTGCTTTTACTAGAAACACAGGCAGAAAACTGTCAGTTTGCAGTAAGAATGATCAGAATTAACATTCTGGTCCTGTCACTTATCAGCATTGTGATGTTGGGCAACTTATTCATCCAAGCAGAAACCTATGTTTCTCTAAAGAGTCAGAATACTAGACTTCTATGATGGAGATGAGATAGGGATTAAGAATGTAGCTCAGTGCTAGAGTGTTCGTGCAGCATGTGCAAGTCTCAGATCCAACCCTATACCACAGAAAGGGAGAATAGAGGAGATAGTAAAAAATACTGTGAACTAGTGTTTTTACTAGTAGGCATAGTAGGCACTCAAGAGAACACCCCATAGCTTTAGTACCGACATTTTTTCTGTCCTATAACATGCTGAAAAGATATTAAAATAAACTGTGCTTACATCTTACAAATTGAAAGCTATTAAAAGCTGGGTATCATGATGGGCTCTAGCTTTTCAGTGATTTCAAGCCATACACCTTGCCCTCATGGAATGTGAAGCTTAGAGTGGATGAGCATATAAACTACAATTATCAAAATGAGTGGTAAGTGCTGCTTTTAACCTCGGTGAGGGCTAAGATCATGTCTGTTTTCTGTGCCATGATGTTCTGTACTAGCTTTGAGAAAAGAAACATTGAATAAATATTTTTAAGCAACGAAGAAAAGAGTATAGCCTAGGCTAAATGAGGAAGGATTGCTACAGAGGCAGCTTTTCATTTTGTTAGTCTGTGTCTGTTAGGTCCTGAGCATTCAGTGTGGCTGAAGGTGTCAAAGGAGACAATACCATTGCAGTATGCACATGCAATAATAAATACAAAACTGGAAGACTGTTCAAAGAAAAGAAAGGACTCTCTTACAGTTCTATCCCTAATGACCTTGACCATGGCATTATATCCCTCTGTAGGCTCCCGCTCCAGAGTCTGCAAAATCAGTGACTTTGAAAAGGAACTTGGAGAACTCCCTCACCTTTTATTTATTAAGGAGTCAAGTTACCAAGGTTCCAGTTACTTAGAAAAGAGAGTATAGTCAAAAAGGAAAGGGCCAAGGCAAGAGAACGAGAGACAAAGACCTGGGACGTAGAGCTAATTGACCTCATGGGTCAGGCCTACTGGGAGTAGTCATTCTATGATAGAACAGCAACGTACACCTGCACAGAATAGGACTTTTTCCTAGTATTATTAATATTTGAGAGTATAGGGAATAATGACAAATTCTTAAACCCAAGAGCTCAGTTTGATGTACATCTTCAACACAGTAGTAAGACACTGAATTATGCTGCTTTGATCCCATGTGAGCTCATCAAGAATCTGTCCCAGAAGGTGTCAGTGGAAAGTACCAAAGGTCTTGTGCAAGGTTATTGATGCTATATTTATGCCTCTTTGGGGCCCTGAAAACGTTAAGATAGATGACACTCAGAGCAATTACCTCCTTGTTTCTGCCAGTAGAATAGCATGAGAGTACAAAATATCAGTCGCTACATAAAAGACATCTTTGTCTACCTTAATGTTCTCTGTAGGGACACTGTCAATTCAGATGACTCCTTATAAGGTTAGAAGGTGTCCTGCTTGCTGTGAGCACACAGTAATGTAATCCCAGTGACATGTTTCAGGTCAAAATGCCTCTTTTATATAACTTCAGTGATGTCAGAGATTGATGGAGATCCTGCCACAATATTTGTATATTTCAGGCCAGTTCAAACACGATAGTGGCACAGCCCCTTCCTTGGAGTGTGCTATGGAATTTAAGGATAGAAAATTGTTTACCTCCAGAGTTAAGAGTGCATTTATTCAACTGGATCAGTAAAATTTTACAAGAAGAAACACCTTCTCATCAACTTTCAAGATCAATAAATTCTCTACTATACCTCCATTTATCTATGTATTCAATCATCAGTTCATTTACTGTACAACACTGTAATTGGGCCTGGAAAAGAAGTGAGAGACACATAGCACCTTTGTTCAATAAGCTAATCATTGAGTGAGATAAGGAGTTCATATTACTGACATTGTCCTAATTTGCAAAGCTCATAAAGATATTAGAGTTTTGAATTATTATTATCCTCATCTTATACATTTGAGGTTCAGAGAGACTTAGTTATCCAAGATCACAGAGCTGGGATTTGAGCCTGGGTAATATACCAAATATTTGGCATACTATTAACAAGCCACATACACTTATAGAAAGGGCAAGGATGCTCATTATGAATGTAAACTCTGGATGAGATGTGGTGGCACAAGCCTGCAGTGGTAGAACTTGTGAGATAGAAACAAGAGAAACAAGATTTCAAGATCATCCTTCACTACATGGAAAATTACTAGACTACATGATACCGTTTCAAAAAATATGGATTATTGAATTATACTGCAATGCTTTAAATGTTGTGATTTTTTAAGACTAACTGTGACTTTAGGCAAATATTTTATCTTTTTCTCATAAATCTATGTTATAAGCTACTGTGAGATTGAAATGAGGAAATGCACATCAAATGAGAAGAATAGATGATGTACAAAAAACAATCAGTGAATGGCAGACATTGGTATTAGTAATCATGATGGATCAGGAACAAGGGAGCTATGTGAGGTCATAAAGCAGGATGAGGCCATTTGTACTTACAATATCCTAGAAAGCAGTTTGGAAGTGGAGCCCAGGCACCGTCATATCATACAGTGCTCACTAAGGGTCTCTTTAGGGAAAGTCTGCAAGAATTATAGCAGTTATTATAGGACATATACAGAAAACTGAAATACATTGGTCATTAGGCCAAGAATAATATCAGTATCCAAAAAGCAACAATGAAGCAATCATTGCTTGCAATGTTTTAAAAACATTCAATAGTAACTTGAATTCTCTTACTTACTGAAGCAAATTTCAGCACACAACATGTAGGATAGCTTGAGAAATAAGCTGTTTCATCTGAATGATCATCTTTGATCCTTAGAATAGCTGACTTAGAGGAATTATGAGATCGTCTTCTTTGATTTAGAAACTTTTGAAGATGTTGATTTAAGGATGTCTCTACAAGGTCAAGGACATCAGGAAAGCATCTTATTTGATCATGAAGGACAGCGATGATGAGCATTCATCAAACAGCCTCAGAGCTCATGTTTATAAAGCCTACTGTATGATCTCCAGAGAAGTGGTTTTGAGCTTAGAATCCGAGATCTGAAAAAGCACAGACTTCTGTGGTTACTTGTCAACTCATTCATATTTCAAAGAAGCAAACTGGTCTAGTAAGGCTAAGCATTCCATCACTACAGTCCTGTCTCCTTATTTTATTCTATTTTATATTTAATTTTATATGTATGAGAATACTGCCTACATATATGTAAGTGCACCAGTGTTGTGCAGTGCCCACAGAGGTCAGAAGAGGGTGTCAGATTTCCTGGACCTGGAATTATAGACATTTGTCACTGCCATGTGGGTGCTGGGAATTGAACCTGGGTCCTCTGCAAGAGCAGCCAGTGCTCTTAACTGCTGAGCCATCTCTCCCGTCCCGTCTCCTTATTTTAATTTCAGTAATGCTCAAAGCAGGTATAAAATACCATCTGTAGCACCCACGATAATATGTTAGAACATGAATTCTTTTAAAATCGTCATATCCATAGAAAGCATTAAGTTAAAAAAACTTGGAAAGAAGAACTTCATATGAAATCAATGTTCAATTACATTTTGCTGAATGACTGAAGGCAGATTTCCTAATCTATATAGAATATAAATCTACCTTTCTATCTTTACACTGTACAAATCTAAATAGGATTTGGGATTATAAGTACTATCACATCTGTTATTCAATGTTCTTTGTTTTAGAGCATCCCAGGGAACAGGCCAGTTCCATACTGTCATTTGACATGGACAAATCAGGAGAGTGAAACAAACAGCTAAATGCAGCAAAGGAAGGGTTTAAGAAACATTTAAGAAAGACCCCTATAAATGAGCCCTAGTGACATTTACCAAATTATACCTACTCTCTTTCTTGTTCTCTCCTTAGTTTTACCCTTTAATTTATTAGGAATATCATCATTTCCAATGTACAATATCGCTAAAGTTAGATGATCTGCAAGGATATTTGAACTTCAATTCTTCTAAACTGCTGAATTAGAGAAAATGTTTTGACATGCTTAGTCTGTACACATTTGGTGTCTAGACATTCCATCTAACTTAAATGGGGTTTTCTCTTGTGTTTTTCTTTCATTTTTAAGTTGGTATAACTTGATTCTGATGTTGCTGCCCTTTCTGTCCCTTTTTTAAAAGTCGCTATTTAATTTAAGAAGATGGTTTCAAAACACTGAAAGTTCTCCTATTCTTCCCTAACCTATCAAGAAAAATTTGTTTATAATACAAATATAATATCAAACAATAGCTCTCCAGACTCCAAGAATCATATTCTTTTCACTCTTTACAAAAAATGTCACATCCCAACAAAAGATAATGGAATTTACGTAGGTACTCATTTTCCTGACATTATATGAAAGATGGAATTTTTTCTGTGTGCTGATGACATTTTGCAGGTCACAATTGAATGAATGGCTAGGAGTAATAATATGTAACTCTGGCATATTGAAATGTGAAATGGACTCGTCCACATGAGCAGTTGTTTAGTTTAAAAGCTATACAAAGTTTTAAGGATTGGTTCTCAGCATTTTTTTCTCAAATTGGAATCATTTCTCCCTCTTTTCAAATGACCTTGAAGATATCACCAATGTAGTATACAGAAATTAAAACCAAAGTACTTAACATTTTCTTTAGCCTTAAAAACAGAGATGCTAAAATGCAAAATATGGGTATATGATCAAAAACAAGAGTTGTAACTGAAGTAAAAAGTACTTAGTAAATAATCAGTAAATGGCAGGTGTTATTAAAAAAGCAATTGATGATGACTCCAAGGATTATTTTCTTATGTAGCAGGGAATGCTTCCCTTCTGCCAATGTCTCCAATTCTGATAGAAGAAGAGTGAAAATAATGGAGAAAGTAATTACAGTGAATTTTAGCATGTGTATGTGGTATCTTGTGAGAGCCGTTACTCTTCATTAAGCCATATTATGTTTTCACTATTGTGCAGGCGAGAAAATTGAAGATGAGGGAGTTTACATAAGGCGCCCAAGGCTATACAAGAAGAAATCAGATCTAAGTATTAAACTCAAATAAACTCAATTTCTTCCAAGGCTAATATGCTTTCCTCTCAAGACATTTTCTGCCACCCACTGAGGAACTGATATTTGGGCTGTTTTCAATCGATAGATGAACAAAATGTTCTGTCATAAAAGTCAAAAAGAGTTTGCTGGGCCAAGGTGCTGAGATGTTAAGATGTGTGGAGAGACATGAATACAAAGGAGAGAGTTTGCTCACAGTGTGTAGAATTGCAGATCATTTCTATTCTCATCCTGAGGAATGAGGGATCTCCTGATAATGGCATCCAGTGGCTATGTTATGGGGCTCTTAGCTCCATAAACTCAGGTTTTCCTATATTCCTGGGAAATTAGGATTTAGAAGTTGATAAAATAAAATGAATTTATTTGGCTAGAACTGGGGAAAGTTCTTATGTTCTCTCTGTCTTTCCTCTAGCAATGTTAAAATTTTATAGAAAAGATGAAATAAAGGCAGGAAATAGTCATGTGTTTATTTATCTATGCTAATCTGAGACAGGCTGTCAGAACCTTGTTAAAGGAAGCAATTTCCTCCTCCTTTGCATTTGAGTTTTAGTTTTTCTCTCCCTCTGTATAGGATTCCTGGGAAATTTTAGCTCCCCTTAGAGTCTATTGTTTGAGGGTCCTTGTTACAGGGAAAGGCCAGGGATACAGCTAAATATCATACATTGCACAAGATAACTTATAACATCAATTATTTGGTCTTAAATGCCAGTTTTGCAGTGTGAGAAATCTTGATGTAGATAATGTATGTATTAACTTTCTACTGCCATGACATACATACTTGAGGAGAATATGTAAAAGACTGAATAGTTTTCTTTGGCTCAGCGTTATTCAGGATCTCCCTACATTGTTGACTGACTTCATGGGTTTTGGGGCCTATGAAATGGTAAAATATCATGGCAGCAAGCCTGGAGCAGATCAAGGCTGCTCAGCCCAAAAAGCTGTGAGAGTCAGAAAAAGAGTAACTGATGCTTTAGTGTCAGATGACCTTCAAGGCAGATGACCTCAAAATTCCCTGGAGAGTTGCTAGTGTAAGCCCAACTTCAAAGGCAGAAGAAACACCCACAGTCTCATGCTTGTCAGCCCTGGGAACCAGCAAAATCACCCTCAAAGCAAAGTATATTTTGCATGTGTGGACTTCTGCCTTCTTGAACATTGCATCCCATCTAGACGACTGGATGGCACAGCTCACATTCGGAGTATGCCTTCATCCCTCACTCACTGAGTATTTGTCACCTGTCTCCAGAAACACCCCTATCCACTCATCCAGATATGCACTGTCCTGTTCCACTCAGTCGACTTAGGGTGGCCACCAAATTTACCGGCCCAATGAAAATCCATTGAGATATGTTAAGCAAGAAAATTAGTGGCATAATCACATGTGAATGATCACTCTGCATAAAATGTAGGGAAATAAGGAGTTAGATGCTACTGGAGGGAGCTAAGATAGTTAACAGATTACTGTGATAAGTCTACAGAGATGAAAGACACTGTTGGGTTGTAATAGGATGTGGTGATTTAGTCCTCTCTGTCTAATAAAACATCATTTAAAACATAAGGATAAATCCAGTTTCTCATCCTCAGTGGATAGGCAGATACATGCTTGTCATTTATTGTGTGGGAATTTAACTAATTAAATGTATTTTGAGACATGTTTTGGCTATGTAGCTCACACTGAACTAGACTTCTCTGTTCTAAGTGTTGGGTCACTAGGCATGTGCTACCATGTCAAGCTAGACAAAATGTGAAATTTAAACATAGTTGGTGGTGTCACCAAATAGCCAATGACTGTGAGACCAATTGAGATGTGTGAATAAAAGCCTTTATTTTGAAAGCCAGGAGCATTATGCTGCAAACTTAACAGATATCTACATACTTTTATAAAGGGAACAGTAGGAAGAAGATTGAAAGGATGATCTCCTTGCTATCTAAGCAAGAGTAAGGAAGGGACCTAAGGGCAGAAATATATTTCATTTACTTTAGAGTAAGAAAGAAAGCGTCTGGCATAGACGAAGACCTCAGTGATTTATAAAGAAAATAATGAATTAACAAAAGAAGCTAAAACTCCAAGATGAAGTAGAGATCAAGAGTTTGTTGTGGAGAAGGCAGGAGGAGCCACTTCTGAGTTCCGGGAAGGTCAACAGCTGAACACAAGATGGATGGCACATTGTAGGGACTGAAGTCAGAGACTCAGGGATTGACAAAAATTATAAATGAAGAATAGAGAAGTTTGAGGGGAGGAAGGAAGAATCGTGGGGAAATGGTCTAGGAGCTGTGGTGATTTCCTATCTTAAACATACCTAATTCTTTTCAACCTACCCCAAAACAAGTAGGTATATTTTCTGAGTGACTCAACATGAAGAAAAATAAAACCCTTCTTCAATTTGGGTTATTTATCTACTGCTTCAGGCCTTTGAATGAAGTCAGACTCTGAATAATAGAATGCCCATAGAATTCCTTGGCTTTGTTTCTCAGATCAGGCTAGGGATGAAGACTAGCTCCAAGGCCGGTTATGGAGCTGTGGGTTATGCCCAGTGACAGGTCACATGCCTAGAAAGTGGGGGATCTGGCTGCTAGTCTCATTACTGAAAAAATAAAAGGCAAAAAATGATGATTACAAATATAGATTTCCTTCCAACAAATGGTGTGTAAATTGAAGTGATATAGGAAGAATTGTATCTTGTGGAGTTTTACTGGTGAGTCTGGGAAATAAATTAAAAAAAAAATAGATTCCGGATCGTTTTCCATTTTCTATTCTGTCCAAACTAAGTCACTAATCTGAGGTCTAAGGAAACCTTGGAACTAAAATTCAGCTGTCCTAACTTCCATATCAAAACACCTTCGGTAGGCATTTCAAATCGATTTCATGATGGTTATACAGGAGAGTCAGTCTTGTTTTGATTGCTGTAGATCATCGAAACTCCCATTTCTTCCATGGTTAATATAGAAACATGTTCTCTGATTTGTGCCTTATATGCAATAAAGCGAAGCTGGGAGGGAAGAATCCCGTGAAGATTTTGCACCTCAATATCATCCTCAGAGAATCTGATTTGTATTAACAATGTTTCTTTTTAGGATAAAGCCCCTTTCCTACAAGGACTACCTGTTACATGGAAGAAATAATTTGTCTCACTTCTAGGACTTTATTCCTAACAGCAAACCTCAGAAATAACTTCTTTTCAAGGTCAAATTGTTCACCTTTCCTGTCCACTTCCCCTCTAGGAGAGTATGTTGTTATGACAACTCACTTCCACTTGAAGAGAAAAATTGGTTATTTTGTGATTCAAACGTACCTGCCATGCATAATGACGGTTATTCTCTCCCAAGTCTCTTTCTGGCTCAACAGAGAGTCAGTTCCAGCACGAACTGTCTTTGGTAAGTGTCAGTCAATATATACATATAAGCGTCTACGGGGAAGTTTTACCATGGCTATGACATTGCAAAAAGAATGAAAAAGTCATTATTTGGTCAAATTGGAAGTCAGCATTATAAAAAAGTTGAAGAATTTCCATTCCTATCATGGTATGTTTAAAAGCTTCTCTCTTCACATAGTAAGCATTTTTGGTGATATGAAGGGTGAGCATAATAAAGATTTAATTCAATGGTTTATGATAGAAATGCAGTGAAAGAGGCATGAAAGCATCACATTAATTTAGAAACACGTACACAGTTACCTTAGAAATGAATCATGCATTTAATATACATAGATTATGTTTTTGAGCATGTTAAGAAATGGCAGCAGAATTACTCACCTGTATATATACATGACCTGGCAGCTTGGCCTCTTTCTGTTCTCCCAGGCTCCTGTCAGTTTCTGTTGCAGTGTATTCCTCGAGTTCCGGCCTTGGCGTCACTGGACGATGGACTGGACGATGGACTTCAAAGTGTACGATAAATAAAATTTTTAAATTTCCAAATTTTTTTTTTTTTTTTTTTTTTTTTGGTCTTTTTGAGACAGGGTCTATCTGTAGCCCCAGCTGTCCTGGAACTCACTATGTAGACCAGGGTGGCCTTGAACTTACAGAGATCTGCCTGCCTCTGGCTCCTGAGTGTTGGGATCAAAGGCGTGCGCCACCACACCCGGCTATTACTTTTATTTTATGTGTATGCATGTATTGCCTGCATGTAGGTAAGTGCACCCATGTCCTGCCATGCCTGCAGAAGTCAGAAGAAGGCATCGGATCCCCTGGAACTGGAGTTATTAATAGTTGTTAACTGTCATGTGGGTGCTGGGAATGGAACCTGGGTCCTCTGCAAGAGCACTCAGTGCTCTTAACTGCTGAGCCATCTGTACAGCCCCAACTCCTATGGTCTTTTAAATTATATATATATTTCAAGCTAAGGCAATCTAATGGGGAATTGTTTATAAATGAGCACCTTTGTCTAATGGAAAAAATAGCCTATTATTGCATTATTTTAGAGCTTGCATTTCACAAGGTCTAAATATGCATTCAGTCATATCCTGACTGAATCCCAGTACACTATCTCAACTGTACCTTTCAGACTAATGAAACCAAGACTTAGTATGGTTAATTTATCATTTCCCCTAATAAATGCATTATTTGACATGCAATGTAAGTTAATACTATTTTCCAGAAACAATTCAAAAGTAAATCACATAAGGACCATTCCCCTTGTGAAATAGATTCACGAACTTGAAATTTAAATGGTCATAACATTATAAAGAATAGTTATTGTGTTTTTATACCAGGCATTTTCAATGTTATTAGCTTTTATTATAATCTTTAAATGTAAATACTTTAGAAACTATTATTTTGGCCATTTCATTAACTTGAAACCAAATGAACACAAGCTTAAGTTTCCCATTCCAGTTCATAAGCTATTAGGTAGAAATCGTGGAGTCAGGTCAGACACTGAGCTTCAGAGACCTGTTCTTTGTGGTGGTGTTGAGCCATCACCTTTCTGGCATCCTGTAGCAATGGCATAACACATAATTGGGCCATTTTTATCAACATCATTCATTCAGGAATAATGCCCACATGCTTATTGGTAGAAGATGCCATTGCCAAGGTTTATTCTACAAATGCCTACTATGCTCCTGTTATGTTGAAGGTCCCGTGCTCCACACCAGAAACCTTTGTAATCAATTCATGTGCAGAGATTCAATGATCATAATATTCATGGAATAGAAAAGGGTGAAATCAGTTCTTTCAGAGATCAAGACTGCACTCCATCTGCTCAAAAGTTTCTTGTGTTTGAACTTGACAAATGCTTCCAGGTTTAAAACCCTTAAATCTGTGCTCGGCTCCTCTAACAATAATGAAAGTACCTAACTAAATTAACATGCAAAATGGCTTCCAGCTGCAGAGCCCAAGAGCAGTTCATTTCAATTTCTTTTTGTGTGTGTGTATGTGTGTGTGACCATTTGCCAATATTAAGAACTTTAGAATCCACTAAAGTTTGACCTCTGGGAGGACGCTCCCCTCCCCTCCATATGGCTATCTCATTAGAGCCCTTAATTCACCAGGAAATGAACATTAAACTTTGATGTACACTTAGGCTTTTTTTTTTTTTGGTTTTGCATTATTTTATTTTTGAAAAATGAAGCCACAGGACTGGAGAGATAGCTCAGTGGTTAAGAGCACTGAATTCTCTTGCAGAGGACTCAGGTTTGATTCCCAGCATTCATATGACAGCTAAGAACCATCCTAACTCCAATTCCAGGGTCTGAACCCCTCTTCTGACCTCAGTGGCATTGCATGACATGGGTGCATGCACATACATGCAGGCAATACACTCGTAGACATAAAATAAAAATAATAAATAAAATATTTAAGAAAAAATAAAAATGAAGCCAATATATTTAGAAGGTTTGTCTTTAATTTTTACTATTTTTCTTGTCTTGCTTCAATCAATGCTATCTTTTCTATTTGAAAATTCACCAAAGCATTTCAGAATCTTTTAGAGTCAAAAATGCTGCTCAACATTTTCAATGATCTTGTTTTGCAGTCGAGCAATGACATTTTGTGAACATAACTGCACAGCTGTAAATTTAGCTGCAGCAAGTATTTTTGTGTACCGAGTCATATATTCGTAATGTTTAAGTTCAATAAAAACCACAAATACAATTTTCCTAGACCTTTAGCCTTTTAACATTTATTTTGTATACATGTTTCTATTCTTTTAAACTGAAGTCAGAAAATTCCTCTGAGCTCTGTAGATAACTGAGTGGAGTCCTAGTATGTGAAGAACTACCAAAGACAGGGGCTGAACAGATGGCTCAGCAATTAAGAGCACTGCCTGCTCTTGCAGAGGATCCAGGTTCAATTGCCAGCACCCACATGGCAGTTAACAACTGTCTGTAACTTCAGTTCCAGAGGATCCGATGACCTCATCTGACCTCCCTGGGCATTGCACAACATGGGTGTACTTATACACATACAGGCAATACACTAATACATAAAATAAAATTAATAAAAAGAAATGCCAATACAAAAACGTCTATGAAGTTACATATTTTAGCAGTTTATTAAAACCAATTCAGAATGAGAAAAAAATTGAAGATTTTTTGATGAATTGAATTGAGATGATTTTTCATCATCCCATGTCCTCTTTTATTTTCAATAAATACCATCTTGCTGCTGAAGAGATCCAAGTTTTAGGTTTTATTTTAACAGGTAACATCCATAAGACATTGGTCACTATCTTTCTGAACTCCTATTGAATGTCATGGGACAGTACAAGGAAAGTCAAGCAATGTTTAAAGAAACAAATGAGAAAGATAAGTTGTCAGGATTATCCCTTGACTTTAATAGTCATACGGCACATTTTTATTTCTTTTTCTTGATCTAAGGCAGGGATTTCAAAACCACAACATTCCCATTTCCCATGCATGTAAGCATACACATACATACAAACACACATTCTCTCTCTCCCTCCCTCCCTCCCTCCCTCCCTCCCTCTCTCCTTCCATCCCAATCTGAACTGTCCTTAGTTTACAGATCTATTTGTTATAAGATCACTCTTTGCTAATTTACTTTTGGCATTTGCCTACATAAACCAAACTACAAATGTGAAATACATTATAGAAGGAATATGTTATAAAGGACATAGAAATTTTCATTAATAGTCACTAATTTTGCCCTTAACTACTAGGTAAGCATTTAACATTTTTATCAATGATATTATCTTATTTAATACTTATAATAGCCCTCTGAATTAGACTTAATAAAAATCAATTAGTAAGGAAAAAAAAAAAACCTAAGTAACAACCCAGAAGCCAATGATTGTAAAGAAATTGTCCCAAGGTCACCCAGCAATTATAAAACTGGGATTTGAAACTGGGTTGCTTTGTTCCCCAAACACTGACTTTTAATTACTTTGTTATTTGCTCTAGTTGATATTGATATGCAAATTTTGGGGCAGTTTGCCAACCAATATTCCTTAGACTATTTGTTAGTTATATAACATGAAACTTGCCCTAGAATATTCAGAAACCCATGCCATACAAACCACAAGGTAAATTTATTTCCCACAACCCTGACCATATGTCAAGAATAAAATTTGTTAACTATTTTACTAGGTCTATGTTTTTGTTTTGTTTTGATTTTGCTTGGTTTTGAGACAGGGTTTCATTCTGTTGCCCCAGCTGGCCTTCATATGAAGACTGTGATCCCAGGCTCATAGTCCTAGGTCCTAGATCTCACAACAATCCACCTGCCTCTGCCTCCTGAGTGCAGGGATTAAAGGTATGCCCTACCATGCCTGACATTCATTCATTCATTCATTCATTAATTCTTAATTGTATCATTTTCTAGTGTAGTTACAAAGAACATCTACCTTGAAACTCCTGGAAAGCTGGAGAACACCAGTTGGTTTAGAACAGATTACAAAACATTTCCCTCTACCATATGTGTAAACCTGCTGATTTCTAAAACAATCAGGAAGAATCATAGTTTTAGACATGTGCAATGATAATATCTTTACAGAAATGTATTATTTATCATCTTTAAAATTCTTTTTGCATACTGTTAAATTTAATTTTCACAATCATCTCGTGAGTGAGAGAAATTTTCATGATGGTATAGACAGTAGAGATACTGTGAATCAAATCAGCAACTTTACAGACATGGAGACTGAGACTCCTGTCAGTGAATTCACTTACCTGTATGGTAAGGCCAATCACTACAAGAGGTCAGGACTATTTCTGGTGAGCATCTCTGATCCTCTTTGACTGAGTTACTGGGACATATTTTTTAAATATTTTCTAATTGCCCCAGAGGAAGCTTGTGGATTTATAAGTGTACAATATCTAATACAGTGCTTTACATACGACAATTTAAAACTGATAATATTGTTTTGTTCAGTGACCATTAAAGGATGTACTTTTCACACTCCAACTCATGTAATTATCCAAATAAATTAAAAAGGACTGCCTTGGAAACTGCTTTGACCTTGAATATATGTCGTTTACATTGCTCAGTGAACAATGCAAAGAAAAGATCAGACTTGTGTTCAGAGATTGGTTTTTCTACCTCTTCCTGATTTTAAGTAAGGGGCATAAAATCTGTATACAAGTATTACATACATGCTTACTTTTTTGTGTACATGTCTTATTTAAATTGCTATACATTTATGCACACATTTATGCATGTTGGTTCCAAGATTTTCTTCAAATGAGTAGCTGTTTTAGAATCAAAACTAGTATAGGAAAAATGCTTAAAATGTAATAAATGATGATCCTAAATTTTTTATGCAATTATCAAATATCAAGGACTAATTGAGTTTCTTATTTCTACATTTTGGACAGAAGAGCCCACAAAAATGAGTATAGGTCTTTCTTGCATACCACAGGCTGTCGTTATCTATGACTTTTTGTGTCAAGAGTTGGATGTCGTGAAGTATGTTATTTTCTACCCTGCTCAGGAGGTAGATTACAAGGTGCTCATTTAATGGAATTCACTGTTTCAGTAATGGCTCCTCAATTAGCAGGACAGTTTGTCCCTTCCAGATGTCCCTCTTGGTACTGCTAGGCCACCAGCTGTACGTTATAATGACTCATCTACCCCAAACCAAAATGGAGTGAATTCAAAACCATAATCTGCACATGTTTGATTTGCTCAGGCAGACTAGCCTCCAGTAATGAAATTTCATACAGTGAACCCAGGTATTTACTTAATTTCTTTCATTGCAGGAGTGACAACTGTTCTCACCATGACAACTTTAAGTATCAGTGCTAGGAATTCCCTCCCGAAGGTGGCTTATGCAACAGCCATGGATTGGTTTATTGCCGTGTGTTATGCCTTTGTTTTCTCAGCTCTGATTGAATTTGCCACAGTAAACTATTTCACCAAGCGAGGGTATGCATGGGATGGCAAAAGTGTGGTTCCAGAAAAGGTAAATGCTTCAAAAGTTCCACGATGATGACGTATTAGGATGATGATTCTTAAAGACTTTTAAATGGAGGGCTTTTTTTTTTTCTTTTTTCTTTTGGCTCAGGGAAAACAGGAGTAAAGAGGACTCTTTTTTATGTTATAAATGACTTATTTTAATGATGGTTTTGTTATTGTTCAGAGCAGAGTTTTTTTGGGTGAATCTAAGTGCAGGTAGAGGGCAGAAGATTTGAGGTGGCTAACAACCATCATAACTCCAGTTCCAGGGGAATCTGATGCCCTCTTCTCACCTCCATGGGCATTGTACAACACAAGTACATTTACATACATGCAAGCAATATATCATACACATAAAATAAAAATAAAGGATATACTAAAAAATGAGAGATACAAAGGTAAGGATTGCTTCTCAAATATACCTTCTGTGGCTTCTATTGAGAACATTTGTAACAGACATCAGAAACAGACTTATCCCAACCACATGGGTCTTTTAAATTTTTCTAGTAGACTTATTTAAAAACTATAAGCAAAGAATATTAGTCAAATCACATGCATATAAAGACACATGTCGGCTTTATAGTGCATGACACATATACATCAGTAAGGGGTTATGCTAAATTGTAGATTTATTAATACAAATCTTCAAAACCCTTCACATATTTATTTTATGCTTACAGTACATCTCCAACCAGACTTAGCAAATTTCAAGTGCTCAGTACCCACACATGGTTGATGGCAGTTATGTCAGATGACAGCTCCGAACAATGGCCGCTGTTGCGATGTCTGCTGAAGGAACGCTTGCAAAGTGCTGCAGCTGTCAATCATTGCACAGATCACACTGTTGAGCACCTACATTAAACATGGATTATATTCAGGACCCTGAATAACCCCACTTCATTATTTGCCCACTTGAAACATAAGGAGAAGCAGCAACTAATAATTGGCTCAGCAATTTACCACAGCAAAACAAACCACCCCAAAATTCTGGGGCCTGAAATAGCAGTCAATTACTTGCTCATGAATCTGAATCTGTGGTTGGGAACAATCTGTGATGTTTATTCATGTGACCTGGGCTCACTCACATGATTGTGGTTAAATGGAGTCTCCACCAAAGCTGGAAAATCCATGGTGGGTTCCTAACATAACTGATATCTACCACACTGCACCTGGTCTCTGGTGCACCATAGTCTAGCCTGGGCATCCTCACTTTTCCAGTAGAGTATGTCCAAAAGATGAAAGGCTGAGGCTGACAAGTCTTTGAGTTAAGGATCCTAAGCTTGAATAGCATCCCTGGCATAGTGCCATGTCCAATTTACGTTCAACCAATGAAGAAATAGACCACGCCTCTTGATGCAAAGGGACGTAAAACACTGTCATAAATTACAGTTCTCAGACTTTTTGTTTATTGTTTGAGAATTTCATCAATATTATGTGTTTTGATTAAACCTACTCCCACTCTGCCCCCTCCAACTCTTTCTACACCTCCACCACTTTCCTCTCACAATTTCACAAACACAAACTCATGGAGGCTATGATCACATGCACAAGACTTGCACAGGATCAGGCTAGCCAAAATTATAGCATGGATGGAGGAAGGGCTAGCAAAACCCTACCTCAAACTAAGGAGCTAAGGAACTAATACAATTGATGAGTGTTGCTGGAAAAGGGAGGGAAGGAGGAGGGAGAGGGGAAAAGGGAGAGGGGGAGAGGGAGATGGGGAGGGGGAGGGAGAGAGTGGAAGGAGGAGAGGGGGAGAGGGAGAAGGGGAGAGAGAGAGGGAGAGAGGGACTGGAAGGGGAAGAGAGAGAGAGAGAGAGAGAGAGAGAGAGAGAGAGAGAGAGAG